AGGCCGACAAGTGCAACCGCACAGTAAAATCAGTCATCGATAGCGGTAGTATGCGCTTTGAAACGTCAGCGAAAACAAAACCCGTCTCGGTGATCATTACCACGTTCTGAGATTCATATTCCGGAACTTTCACTTTTAAAAACTTGAACTTTCGGCTAAACTGTCTTTCGGGGATTCTGCAGATGAGAAGGCAGTGAAATAACTTGAAAACCCAAGTCCTGGAAACAATTGGTGTGATCCAAATCCATGCCATGTTGGTGCACATTCAACCGTGTTGGAGTGGCTGTGTCCCAAGAACAGCCAATGAGCCTCTGCCTAAACAAACCCTCTATGTCGACGTCACTACGGCTGCTCTTTGGGGACTTCTAACACTCCACTCGAACCCTAAGAACATTTTGTTATCAAGCTTTCGGACACGTCAGCCCCAAAGTTGCTGCCGTTGTGGACCGGTGGAATCAGTCCTAATTTCGTTGTCTTAGCCAATCAAAGTACCACCTCCCCTGCTGTTAAACACTGGATTTTCGCTGTGGTTACTACATAGTTGCTCGACTTTGCTATTAGGGGAGTGCCTACAAATCAGTGAAGACGCCAAGGGAACATTTGCCAAGGTCCGGTACGCAAAACAGTATCCCAGGAAAGTTAGTCGACAAGGAAAAGGGACAAAAACGTCACCAAAACCTAACTCACCTCAGTATGCGCATACCGTCGACTTGCTTTCACGGCATTATTCACTGTCCTTATTAGTACTAGTGTTACCTGAAGAACTTGCATTCGCCTTTTGTCATCCAAGACCGTTGGTTTTGACCTTGATGTATTTTTTTTCCAGGCAACCGTGTCGGTTGAAAAGTCGGGCCTCGTGTCCGGCCCAGTGGAGCTCAATGCCGAGATCATGGTGCTAGTAAGCTCAGGCGAACATTCCAGTCCGTCCCCACAGGCGGCCATCATCTTGCGAATAACAGACCAAAGTCTTTACACTGTCAGTAAGTAACCTCTCCCGTTTCATGCTCTTGTTGCTGATAAGACTATCAAATGTGGTCCAAAACAAACTAATACTAACATTGCAGCACATACGCCTACTCATCCTGGTTGACTTGGTTCATTATGCATATACATTCCGCAGCAAGGTTGATCATTAAAGGCACGCAAGCCGCTTGCTTTTGCCATGCGCTTTTAAAGTCTTTTTCCTCGCTCATTGAAGGAAAATGTACACGTGATAGGACCATTGCGGGTCCACACAAAGTAGAACGTTAAGAAGCCGTGTAGACTATGACCACAAGGTGCGGTAGATGCGATCGCTGACAAGATCGTCGCAGTTCGCATAAGATCAAACAGGAAAGGCCGGGAAGACCTTCGCCTGAGTATGATGGTGAGAGTGTAGGTAATGGATTACGTATAGTATAATATTATAATAAAAGGTTACCGAGAAATAGCAAGTAGTATAATATTGGTTATTTTACGGCTTCGGGGCAACATCCTGATAGAAATCCCGGTCGTTTGTCCTTCTAATTTAGCCTGACCGAATATTTAACTAACTCAATAGAATACAGAAGTCACTTTTCGCGTAAAACATTAAATACCTGTCACGGCATTTAAATTTATTATCATAATATAAAATTATTTGAAGAAACAGTTATAAAAATAAAACTACTGGAAAATAAGGATAGTATGCCCTATAAGGTGTAAATTTCGGAGCTCGTGTTAAAACGTGAGGCATGTGTTAGTTTCTGATGACATGATGGTACACGAGGCTGTAATGATGTATTTTTTGTTTCCTGCCGCACCTTACGTTTTTTTCTCCATTTAGTTTTCGATGATGGCGATCGTAGGAGCCTGAAGCGCACTCAACTGGTCCTCAAGGGTGAGCGCCACTTCAAGGAGAGTGAAAGTCTCGACGGTTTACCTCTCACTAATCCGGAACAATTCAAGCAACCGGTGATTGATCGCAGTCGGAAGTATCGGTAGGCCACCCCACCCCCTCTTCTTAACTGCCCCCTCTATTGTCCACGTCCTTGCCGCATCTACCTGTCCCCTTTCGGTAAGAATGACTTATATGGCTGCTGAAAGAGAACCTGGGAACAGGAGCCGCCCACAGTACCTATGCTTTTGCGGCAAACTTCAGAGAAATTATGTTTAAAGTTGAGGTTACGGTCAGAGATGGGGTTAGGATGAGGATTATGTTAAGGGTTAAAGTCAGGCTTCGTGTCAACTGTAGGGTTGAGGTTTAAGGTAGGGCTAGGCTTCAGATTAAGGTTGCAGTTCACTTTTATGTTGGGCTTAAGACACGAGAATACTTACCCTTCCAGAAATTTATCGCGAGGCCACCTATTTTAAGTGGCCTGGGCATTCCTATTCTCATGTCCTGTTTAGGCGGCCACACAAGCCATTCCCGCCGTCCTTTCGTCTGTCTGTGACTCATGTGCCATTTACAACCAATTTGCGGGATATATATCGGTCTAATTAGATTTAAAAAATTGAAACAATGCTTCAACTTTTTGAATTTCTCCTTTCCTTTTTATTCAGGAGTTTATTTGATAAATATAAGTTTTTGCTTCCGTCGACGTAAATTCCTCTCCATTATGCCCCACTACCCCC